GGGACTGGGACCCCGTGAAGTGTCCTCTTTTTTAAATGTTTGAATATGGTAACCGTAGTGTGGCGTTAAAATCAGTGGAATCTGCTGCATCTGTCTTCACTTCATGTCTATTCTGTGCATGGTTGGCAGGAGGAAATAGGGCAGCTGTTGAGCATTTGGTGCATAAGTTCTTTATTATATAGGATATTAGGTAAATCGTTCTGACTGAATTGCAGTTTTAAAAATGTGTGCAGTATTGATTCAATATTATAAATGTGGGGCCAGTTCCCACAGTGAGATTGTCGCAGGCTGTTACCAGCACGAGCGAACCCATTGAAATCAGTAGGGCTCCATACTGGTGCAGGGCTCCATCTCTGTAATTCCAAGTGTAGGATCATATCCTAGAGCAGCGAGACTCAGACTGCGGCTCGTGAGCCGTAAGTGTCTCTTTAATGTGTCTCCTGTGGCTCTTTGAAGCACATGATATAAAACACTGTGTGATTTAATTATTAACTAATCTGAGTTATTAATCAGGATGCTTTTATTATGTTATTAACCAATTAGGTTATCAACTTGCACTAAGTTATTAACTTGTTTGCTGCGAGAATGATATATAGAAATTAAATATTTCCCCCGTCATATGGTTTTAAATATGAATAGTTCTATAGTAACTGAAACAAAATAGTGTGAATTCAACGGCTCTTTGGGTAATGTTGATCGCTAATTTACTCCTGAACCACTGAGATCTGAGTATCACTGTCCTAGAGCAGGGGGTTGGACTAGATGACCTCCTGAGATCCCCTCCAACCCCAATATTCTATGATTCTATGAACAGACCTTGTATAAGAGAACTAAAGACCTCTATTAATGTGGAAAACTAACACCCCTTCATAGGGGCATGTAGCCAATTTACAAAAATACAAAGAAATTATTGGAAGGTTACTATCATTGACATATCTAAACCTGCATGTATTTATATGACTGGCTTTGAACTGGGTGTAGAATATCTGATTACTTCGACTGTTCTGCAATTTCTTTTTAATTTCACATTGTGCTAAAGATGGATGTTATGCCTTCAAAGCAATGTAAAGTGCTTTATAAATGCTATATTATATGGATATACATCTACTTTTTTGTTAATGCACATTTTTATACCCAACTATATAAATATTTCTGTAAAGGTTGTTCTCATGCTTTTCCATCTGTGTTTCTTTTAAACTCCATTTATATTTTCATCTAATTGAACTTTTGGGTTTTTGCTCTTTTAGAATGAGAGGCTACAGGCATTACTTGCAGACAATGAGAAGATGAATTTATCAGATGTGGAACTTATTCCACTTCCTTTGGAGCCTCAGGTGAAAATCAGAGGAATAATCCCAGAGACAGCTACACTGTTTAAGGTAAATGGGAGAGATTTTCCATTGAATAAATGAGTTATAATTAAACCTTAATTTTTGAAATACTAACAGAAACGTTACCTTGAAAAACTACTTGCTGTTAAATTTGTCAAATACACGTTGTGCTCCTGACATTGAGAGGCTAATATCACTGAATTTAGTGGGATAAGTGCATGATCAAAGTATTTGTACCCGAGTGCAGCCAATGTTTAAGTGGCATTTTGGTCTAAAACACTGTATCCTCTACTCTTTCCTTATGAAATGCTGTGAGTGTGTGCATACTAATTGGCCACAATACTGTACGCGCTGTAGTTGATGTAAAGAGATGGGCTTTACATTTTGTTCTGAGCAAGGTTTGATCCGTGAACATTTTGATATCCAGACAGGACTTCCCAATCTGAGGGCTAGCTACTAAGACATCGGAGCCAGCACAGCAATGGTCCACCATCCGTTCTATATGATTTATTAAAAATCCATGATCAACAGAGTCAAACCTTGCTGACAGACTGTCTGTAATAGTGGTGATGCACAAATGGGTGCATAGCTTGTGTGTCTGCCAAAAGGCCGCCTAAATCACAAAGATGTGCAACATTCTACATTCTTCCAACACCTCACCTTCTCTGTCCACACTGTAGACTTGTTTCTCCATGTGTGCATTTGTGCTTTCTTCGGAATGGAGTGTTACTCCACTTTCTTATTTCCTTCTTCATTGCCTTTGCCTTATCTGATCGTTTGGGGTTGGTGGTTCTTGTTCTTCATTTTCAAGTGTTCTTGTCAAGTGTATCCTCCTAGCTGATAACAGCCTTCTGTGACTATTCGCTTTTGTACTCTGGCCAACATATCACACATCACATCATCTCACATGACTAACCATCTCAGTTTATGCTCCCTCTGCTTTTCCGCAATGGAGCAACCTGCATTGTGGTTTGTACCATTTCATGATGTAGCCTATCAGCGCTACCGTCCACCTGAGCACACTCATTTCAGGAGTGCGAAGCAGTTGTTTGTTCTTCTTCATTGGTCAGCGTTCTGACCCATACATCATGGCTGACCTAATCATGAACTTATATGCTTTGTTCTTTAGTTTACTTGGCATATTCTTATTGCAGAGATTTCCCTTCAACTTTATTTTTCATTTGCAGGCTCCTAATTTTTTTTTAATGGAGGTTTGGACCCCTTTGAAAATCTTGGACATAGTCTGTGGACCTCCAGGGGTCCATGGACCACAGGTTGAAAACGACTGGTTTACACCAAGTACTCTTCATGTGACTCCTAACGTCTGCATTTACATTCCCATCATGCCTCAACACTGAGCCAACACTGGTGGCACAGACTCTAACTCTACACCATCTAATTTTACTGGGTTCTCATTATCTCTCAACAAAGTATCGTATGTATTCTATCGTTTGTTGGCTGATTCGTAAGCCATTTTCTTCTAATGCAGCCCTCCATAGTTGTATCTCCCTTTCCAGTTTGTAGTATCTTCTCGGCACAACATATCGTCATTGTCACAAAGAATGCTCCAAGGAGCTTTTTCCCCTGATGTCCTGTGTCAAGGTGTCCATTACAATCACAAATGTGAATGGACTTAAGGCTGATCCTTGATGTTGATCTACCCTCATGGTGAATGACTCACTGTAGCCTCAGCTGCTTCTCACTGCTATTGTGTTACCCTTGTACATGTCCATGATAGTCTGAACGTATGTCTCTGGCAGATTGTGCCACAGCAGGTGCCATCATAATAATTCTCTAGGAACTTTGTCATAAGACATCTCTTATTCTAAATGCAATTCCTTGTGTTTCTCCCTGTGCTGCTTTTGCAATATTCAGGCTGCAAACACTGCATCCATTGTTGACCTTCCTGGCATACACCTGAAATGGTGGTTGTTTACTTGGTGCTCCAGTTCCTCCCACACTCTTTATAATTCTTGCAGGCATGTCATTGTGTGAATCATTATCTTGATGGGTTGGTAATTACTACATTCTTGCACATCTCCTTTATGCTTAAAAATAGGGACCAATTTGCAATTTCCAGTATAGTGAATTAAGGTGAAAAAAGTATTTTGTCATAACCATGTCTGTTGCTTTAAATGCTTCAATTGGTATTCTATTCGGTCCCACTGCCTTGCCATGTTTCATCATCTTGAGCAATGTCTGAGTCTCCACCAGGATGATAAGTCTTGTAAGGTTGTTGCTTGTGCATAGTTTCCTCAGTGGTTTCTTTACATTCTCCTAACTGAGCAGTTTCTCATAAAACTGCTGCCATCTCCTAATGACTTCGCACTCTTCCACCAGTGCTCTTCTGTTTTCTTCTTTAATTCACTTCACAGTTCCCAAATCCTCTGTGCTTCTTTGCCTAATCTTGTTTAATCTATATATTCCTTTCCTTCCTTCCTTCCTTCCTTCCATAGTAGTCCTGTGTAAACGGCTTTAAATGACATATCCTTAGCTTTCGTAACTGCTTTTTTTTTTATGTTTTCTTTACTAGCTTGTATTCCTCATAATTTTCTACCATTCCTACTTTCTGCCATCATTTAAACCTTTCCTTCTTCTTTACAGCTTCTTGCACATTGTTTGATCATCACCATGTCCCCTTGCAATGAAATTTCCCTCCTCTTGTTTGGCCACATGCAGCCTGTGAACATTCTGTAATATGTTTGGCTATTTTCCCCCAAACCACTTTGGTATCATTGTGGTCAGTTTGATCGTTGCCCAAGCTCAGTAGAATCTTTGTCCTTATACCTCAGGCTACATCTACACTACAGGGGGGGGTCGATTTAAGATATGCAAATTCAGCTACGTGAATAGCGTAGCTGAATTCGACGTATCGCAGCCGACTTACCCCGCTGTAGGGACGGCGGCAAAATCCCACCTCCGCTGGTGGAGTAAGAGCGTCGATTCGGGGATCGATTGTCGCGTCCCGATGGGACGCGATAAATCGATCCCCGAGAGGTCGATTTCTACCCGCCGATTCTGGCCGGTAGTGTAGACCTAGCCTCAGACTATCTTCCCTTACCGCAAGGCTCCACCTCTTTGTTCCACAACTCATCTTTTGTCCCCCACTAGCCTTTTCACCCAGAAGTCCATTGCACAGCAATATAGATTGCTTATGATTTGCTCTCCTGGCATCAGTTTAGTTTCTCTCACATTTTTAGATTACTTCCTTACAAGAGGAAGAGATCTAAAAGTGTGAGAGAGACTAAACTGAACCCAGGAGAGCAATTTACAAACAATTGACCTCGGACCTGTTGGCACCACACTTGTGTGTAATTAAATGCTCTTCCCTCTTTACAAAGTATGTATTGGTAACAATCAGGCCATGGGCTCTGGCTAACTCTAAGATAGTCCCACCAGCTTCATTTCTGGTTCCAAAGTCTCATCCTCCATGACTGTCATTGTAGTCCCCACTGTGTTCTTCTACATTCTGTGGAGATCTGCTCCAATAATTAAGTACTCTGCTCGTGGTACTTCACTTGTCACTGGGTTCAGCACTCTCTGGAATTCTGCCTTCTCCTCAGTCATACAACCAACCTGCGGTGCACATCTGCATTAAAAAACACAAATATTTGTTCTCTGTCAGTACTCTTCTAACTTTCATTGACCAGTTGCTCTTCTTTAGGGTGACCACTAGCTTGTCCTGTAATACTTCTGCTACGATTGTTCCTACTCTGTTCCTCCTTGCTACTGAGCCGCGATACATTATCTTGTAACCCTCTTTAGTGTTTGTGGATTTTGACCCCTTCCATTTTATTTTTTGTATGCAGGCAATATGCACTTTTCTTCTTTTCAGCGTCTCAGCTACTTCTCTTGATTTCCTAGTCATTGTTTCCACATTAAGTGAAGCCAAACACAATTCTTGGGCTTGCTGCTTCAGCTGCATGTGGCCTTAATGAGGTGGCCTTTTCCTATTTTCCACAGCTGTCAGGTGAAGCGGTTGCACGTTTGCTTCCTGCGGATGCCATGGCATTATAGTAATATGCTCCCTGAAGACAAAGACCCATAAAGCATGTGTGTTTGGCACATTTTTTGGCACACTTTTACAAACTGCCTGGCCAGGCCTGAGGTTCTTGGGTTGAAATCAGAGTCCGTTATCCTAGGTGGACTGCCTGCCATGGCGAGTGAGCCCACCTGCCCAGATACTCACCGTTCACACTCCCATTTTCAACTAAGAACAACTCTGCCGTGAGAAGGCAAGTGATAGTTTAGCTGTCAGAGGCTATACATTATGCTAATCACATGAAGTATTTTCTTGGTAGTGAGAGCTCATCCCCAAAGCCACCTAAACTATGACAGCTCTTTAGGAGGCCCTGTCTGTCTACAGCTGCACATAAAATTAGAGGCAGAGTCGGGGAGATTTTTACAAATCAAAATAGCAAGCTCTTTAGCCAGGATAAGAATGACCTTGTCCCAACAGACTTGCCCACTGTTTAGGAGAGGACAAGGAGCTATCTGTCATCTATGGATCACACTACTGCTGTAGTTGTTAGTTGGTCTGTAGGGCAGTCACCTTCCTCTCTGAGACAGCTCCAAAGCACGGCAGGACCCTTAGTTGATCCTGGCAAACTAACCACCTACTGTTTGGAGAGCAATTTGTCTTGCAACAAGAGCTTTGACAGATGGTTGCTGTTCACCCTTAGCATGCTGAATCTTTGTGGGAATGTAATGCTTAATTTTCTAGACTGATTCTGGATCAATATTTTGTATGTAGCAGAACAGCTACTTCAGCAATGTATTGGAAGTCAGCCTTTGACATGAGGTGGTGGTTTTTTTTCAATTAAAAACAAAACAAAACAAAACACATTTGGGATGTCCAGCATGGTCCTATTTAAAGCAAGCAAGATATAATTCATGTTCTGCCTAAAAGAGAGCCAGAATTTAGATCCAGTCTTTCAGAAGGTGCCATCGGTGTCCAAGTGCACTTAGAATTGAGTGGCCACCATCTTCTCAATCTCCTCCCCCAAGAAAGAGGTTGTAGACTAGTCAGTAACTAGCAAGCTCTGCAGAACCAGAAAAAAATGTCTTGAGGAAGGATGGGGCCTCTGTGCTTTTGAGTCTAAGTAGCATCTTTTGGCCTCAGTCATAGCTTTTTTTCTACAACCTCATTAAGTCCTTGTGTAGAAGAATAAGGAACTATATTTTTAAGAGAAAAAGTAAGGTAGCAGTAGATGACGTGAAAACCACAGCCTCAGAGCACTTACTGCAAACAGCTGTAATGAAATTGATCAATTAAAAATCTCCATTGTGTACCTGATTTTTATTTCATTTTTATTTGAGAGGCTTGATGAATTACAGTAGATAAATTTATTCATGTAGATAATTGAACTGCAGCTCATTTTATGAGGGGTGAAACTGCAAACAGAATTAAATTAGTTCTTTTTAAAGACCATTTAAAATTGTTACTTTTGCTAAATTAATTGAGAAAGCAGTTAATTGGTTTGAAAATGCCCTATCCCTAGCATTTCTTTGACATGTATAATGTAGTTGAGTCTTCCTGTTTTTTTTGTTTTGTTTTTTGTTTTTTGTTTTTCTCTTCTGGTCAGTTTAAAATGTTTTGCTCCCTTTGCATGGTGCTTCGAAGTTTAGATCAGCTGTGAACAAACTTAATTTCTGCATTTACCCCGAATTAGAGGATAGAATGATTTAAAAAAAAAATCTACCAGGGTCCGTTCGATTTGTCTTACTACTTCTCTCAGGTTTCCCATGGAGTGCTATATCCTCTGTGGATGAATGGAATCTAGAAATTGCATAAAACCTGGAAGTCCTATGGTCAAACTTTTGGTAAGTGGGGGCAGTACGTTCTTGATGCAGAGTCATAAACTATGGAACCATAATATTTGAGTTCCAAATGATCCCTATTGGAGCAGTCTTCAGAGCCTATTGCAAAAACCACCATTTTTCAGATGTCTACCTGCATTGAAACATTTGGGTGAGGAAGTGGCAAGTCCTCTAGTTTATGGTTTAGTTTCTAACAAGATAGTCTCTTCTGATTTTTATTGAAAATTTAATTTAGTACCTAGATTTAGATACTATGGGTGTATTAGGCTAGAAGGCTAAAAAGCAAATGAGAGAAACTATTACAAATGAATTTACTCACATGTAGAGAAGGATTCCCAACTTAAATTTGTTTCAGCAAAGTTGAGTTCAATTTGTTCTAGTGTACTGGTTCATGGCAAATTTCCTTTTCCAGAGTGCCCTAATGCCTGCCCAGTTATTCTTCAAGACAGAAGATGGAGGCAAATATCCTGTAATATTTAAACATGGTGATGATTTACGTCAAGATCAACTTATTCTTCAAATTATTTCACTCATGGACAAGGTGATGAGCATTAAACAAGTGTTTCTTAATCTCACTATTAAACATCTGTTTTATTGTTTATACAAGCTGAGGAAATTGCTCTTAGTTAAAACCCAGAAAACACAAGATATTAATGCAGCTTAGTTCAGTACTCTTTTATTGTAGCTGTTACATTCCAAAGAATTCCCATTCTTACAAATATTGTTTTAATGTCCTCTATGGACTAAGAAGATATGAGCAAAAAGACTTTCACTTATGACAGGTCTGAACTAAATTTCCTCAAAAAGGAATAAGTTAATGTATTAAACCACTTCACAACCTAGCCTCTTTTTAAAAATCTTTGATTATTTTAAACTGTTCCACTCATGTTTGTGTTTTCCTTCCAGCTGTTACGTAAGGAGAATCTGGATTTGAAGCTGACACCATATAAGGTGCTGGCTACTAGTACAAAGCATGGTAAGGTTATTTCTTTTTTAAAAAACACCGAAAATCAGGTATTTGTCTTCCTCAGTTTCACTTACCTGGATGCAGATATTATCCAACCCAAGCTTCTTGTTAGTGTCACAGGAGGGTACAGCTGACTTCAGGTTGTAAGATTTCTTTAAAACAAACTTGGGCAACTTGCTTAAAAGCAGATTAGTGTTTATTCTTTACCTTCTATTTCCCTTTTCCAGCTTTATTGTCAAGTGCTTGTTTTGCCTCACCTACTGCAATGAAAACCTAGGACAAATTGTGAAATACAGGTTGTCATTGTTTCAGAGCTAGCTGCACCTCTGTTCCCGCTCTGATCTTTGAGGATACTTCTACACAGCAATTAAAAAAAAAATGGTGGCATGGCTGAAGCTGGCCCAGATCAGCTCACTTGGGCTCGCGGGGCTCGGACTGTGGGGCTAAAAACCACAGTGTAGTCCTTCGGGCTTGGGCTGGGACCCACAAAAAGTAAAGATGTTACATTATGAATTGCACTTCAATAACTTATTTTGACAAGGGTTGAGATTTCATTGAGTAATAGTAAATGTACTGTGTTATGCTTAGTAGAACTAGTTACATCTCCATAATAGGAGACCTTACAACTAAATTTAGGATGAAAACTATTAAGTTCTTCTTTGAGTGATGGTCCCCATATGGATTCCAGACATGGGTGTGCATGTGTGCCATGTGCAAGAGCTGTAAGCTATCGACGTCCGGGTCAATGCCGTTCCAGTTCCATCTTACCACCGCATGGCCAGAGTTGGAACCCCTGTTCCTCGCTGCTCTTAGCTCTGCTAAGAGAACTCTTACCTGTTTATTCTCACCTGTATATAATTGTTACCATGTTCTCATTGTATATAGTAGTTCTTGTACAGTTTTAGTTAGTTAGGCTCCCCTATCGGACTTCTTCTCGTGGAGGGGAGAGAGTCCCTCCTTTACCCATACCCTTGGTATTATGCCCTGACAAGCTATCTTGAAGAACCTTGCTTCGTGCCTGCATTCCTTCTCCATGGGCATTGAGCACCAGTAGTGTCTACTGTCTCGGCGAAGTCCACGTCATCATCTGCTGTTCCATCTGCCGCTCATTCCCAGCTCAGACTCGGTAGGGTAGGGGACTTTACCTCCTCACATTTCTCATGGAGGAAGCTATGTACCCAGGTGTGCAGTTGGATCCGGGACTGATGGATCCACCGAAATGGTACCCATCGCTGCTGGTGAGTGACCCTCTGGCTTCCTCCCGTGTATTGGAACCCTCAGTACTGCTGCATTCGCTGAAGCCCTACTGTGAGCATTAGAAACCCAGACATGGACATCAGGGTGCCTCCCCGACGGGGACTGCTTCTAAGCACAGCGTTGCCTCCCTGAGCCGTGCCCAGTCAGGTGAGAAGTACCACGCCGAGCTGGCTGCTGCGGCTCCCAAGAAGTCCCAGACAGAGTATAAATCGAAACACCTATGCAAGCCGTAGGTGCTGCTTCCCACCCTGACTCCCAGTCTGCCGCCATCTTCACCGCCGGCACCATCTATGCCGCTGGACCCTTTCGGACTGGCATGCCTGGCTCCCACACTCCAGGCCGCCTGGAACTGCTGATGCTCACAGCCAAGTTCATTCTCTCATATGCCAGTTCCTTGTCCGTGGAAACTTCACAGCTTACTTCTCCGGCGGATGAACCTCTCCTACTCCTTCTGGAGTGGCGCTCCTCTTCCACCCACGCACCAACAGAACCACCTCTACCAGATCCATCCTCTCAGTCTGAATGGTTTTCCACGCCGGACCCCTTCTCCCTTGCGCGTTCTCACAGCCCGGATCGCAGGCACTACCCACCCTAGCCATATGCCTATGACCCTTGCACTGAGCCATGATTCCATTGCCCCAGGGCCTGCTGATGCATGGCAAACTCTGCTTGGCCCTACTGGCCTCCATGGGACCCCACGTGGATTGTGGGGTATCACTGCTGCCATATTACTGGCCGTCCCCTGCTTGCACCATGTCCCCCTGGGTATGATGAACAGGAGGAAGAGGTCATCGTGCAATTGGTACTGCCGGTTCCCATTGGAGCCTCATCGTACCCGGGCAAGGCACTAATTCCACCTTCTCTTTCCCCTCCGGATGACCATCACCAGTACCACAACCTGCTTTGGCGCATGGTGGAGGCTCTCCTCCTTATGGTGGAGGAAGTCCAGGACCCGCAAAACCAACTCTTGGATATCCTTCTTCCACCTGGACCCTCCCACACTGCCCTCCCTATCCACTTGATCATCATACAACCAGCACAGTCAGTTTGGCACATGCCTGTCTCCTGTGCCCCTACAAGAGGAAGCAGATGCCCTGCTCCGGAAGGGCGCCATAGAGCATATTTCCTGCCATTATCAGGGCTGAGGGTTCTATTCCCCCATTTCCTTATTCCCAAGAAGGGGGTGGCCAATGGCCCAATCTGGACTTCCAGTTGCTCAACAAGCTCACCTTAAGTTCTGATTCCGGATGGTCACGCTCCCCCTCCATTATTCCATCCCTCCCCTGAGGCTTCTGGTTCATGGCTCTCAATATGAAGGATGCTTATTTTCACATTGACATCCACCTGGCTCATCAGAAATTTCTCCATTTCACTGTGGGGCACTCCCATTATCAGTTCCGGGTCCTCGCCGTTGATATTGCCACCACTCCACATGTGTTCAAAAAGATTTTCACTGACATCACCGCCCATGTATGCCACCTCTGCCACTCTGTGTTTCCCTGCCTGGACAATTGGCTCCTCGTTTCGATGTTGCACACATGCCTCCTTTCCATGCCCTTTGTGATCTCTTCACTCACCTGGGTATCTGTATCAACGAGGAAAAGTCAGTCCTCGTCTCTACCCAAGCTATCACTTTTACTGGGGTGCACTTGAACTCTATTGTGGGACGTACTTTCCTCCTGCTACCCTCACCTCTCTCATCATGCAGCTACATTGCAATCCAAGCATGTGACTCCATAATTGCCTTTCCCTCTTGGGCCACATGGCGACCTGCACCTCTGTAACATCTAATGCTCACCTCCTTATGTGCTGCCTTCAACTCTGTCTCTAGTTGATCTACAGACCTCAGATGGACCATTTAGACAAGCCACTCCTGCTTCCCCACCTTGTCCTGTCCTCCTTCATATGGTGGACCAACCTGTGCACAGTTTTGGTCCGCATCCTGTTTGCCCCTCCCATTCCCCACACCACTCTCACCACAGATGCCTCCCTCAAGGGTTGGGGTATCCATCTGAATAGTCACACTACCCAGAGAGGTGAGGATGCACATCAACGTCTTGGAACTCTGCACTGCCTACCTGGCCTGTCAGGCGTTCCTCCCTCTCATATGGTCCCGGCACCTTCTGCTGCTCTCCGACTACATGATGGCAGTTGTGTATATCAACAAACAAGATGATGCCAGGTTGCCCTCTCTCTTTGCAGAACCGTCCACCTCTGGAACTGATGCATCAAGTGTGGGATCACACTGCACACCATGCACCTTCCTGGCAGACACTTTCAGCAGGTCCTTCTACACGAATCACAAGTGGGAGATCCATGATCCCATGCTTCACTCCATCTTACCCCGGTGGGGCACCCCATATTGGGACCTCAGAAAACTGTAGATTCCCCCTTTTCTGCTCCAGAGGGACCCTTGGAATTGGCTTGTGGGGTGACGTCCTCCTCCTGCCTTGGACCTCCGAAGTCCGCACACCTTTCCACCCTTCCCTCTGCTCCCGCAAGTCCTGTGCAAGGTACGACGGGATCGAACTATGGTCATCCTGATCGCTCCCTTTTGACCTCGCCAATACTGGTTCACCGACCTCCACCTCTCCGTTTGTCCTCCGATCCACCTTCCATCAACTCCCCATGGACTGTTCCTCCATCTTCACTCACCTGACCATCGTTTGCTTCCTTAAATGCTTGCTCAATGCCTTTCTGCTGGAAACCCCTCTTGGAATATGTACATCATCCTTTCTGCCCTCACTAAACAGCCCTTTGATCCCCTCCTGATCTGCTCCCTCGCCCACCTCTCCATGAAGATGATCATCTTAGTGGCCATCATCTCAATGCGGCGCACTAGCACCTTCACCACTTGCTACGCCACCGCCTCGGCAGTGGTGATGGATGCGGCTGTCAGCCAAGCCGTCCTCCAGACTGTGACTTCACGTGACTCCACGCACCCACCTTCACACTGAGCACTGCTCGCCACTCTCCCATGTCTGGAATCCATATAGGGACCATCACTTGAAGAAGAAGAGGAGGAGGTTACTTACTGTAAACAGAGGTTCTTTGAGATGTGTGGTCACTATCTGGATTCCACCACTGCCCTTCGTGCCTGCTTCTGCAGATTCCTTTGCTTTCAGATAAGAGGGGTACTGAAGCGGTGTTGACCTGCACAGCCTTTTGTAGCAGACATGCAGATGACGCAAGTGCGGGTCAACAAACACTACTGAACAGTTTTGGCTCTGGTGCATGTGCACCCATGTTTGGATTTCAGACAGGCACCACACATCTTGAAGAACCTGCAGTTAAAGTAAGTAACCTCCTCTTTCTCCTATATTTGTACCATTGAAGTCTTTAAAATATCTCATGATCCATTTGTATTGAAATCCACTAGAATCTACTGTTTTCATACAATTTTGTTCTATCCTTAAAACAGATTGAGTAAAGTAAATATGATGACTATTTGTACAGTCTTCTATAGTAGGGTCTATTTTTATTCATAACAAGAAGCAAGGTCTGGGAATGAAGAGACTCAAGTTCTAGCTCCAACTTTGTTGCTAGCTTGCTGCCTAGCCTTGGGCAAGTCATGTAACATTTCTATGTGCTTCTCCATGCATAAAATGAGGATAATGGCTACCTTCTTAACAGGGTGTGACACTTTTCCCCCCTCTGAATGCCACCAGATGTACTTGGATGCCACTGAGTCGGCCTATTCTGCCAGCCTGGGTCCCCTTTACCTGGTCTTGCTGGGCTAGGCTCACAAGCCTCTTCCAGCCAAGCGCACAGGCAGGGCCACACCCAGCTGCACAGAGAGAGACAGAGATCCGCTCTGGAAAGATTCAGCCTTAGGGGCTTGCCCCAGCACTCTGGGTTTGTCGCCCTTAAAGGAGTGGGCACCAAAGGTTTTATGAGTACTTGTGGCACCTTAGAGACTAACAAATTTATTAGAGCATAAGCATATGCATCCGAAGAAGTGGGCTGTAGCCCACGAAAGCTTATGCTCTAATAAATTTTAGTCTCTAAGGTGCCACAAGTACTCCTGAAACCTTTGGTGCCCACTCCTTTAAGGGCGACAAACCCAGAGTGCTGGGGCAAGCCCCTAAGGCTGAATCTTTCCAGAGCGGATCTCTGTCTCTCTCTGTGCAGCTGGGTGTGGCCCTGCCTGTGCGCTTGGCTGGAAGAGGCTTGTGAGCCTAGCCCAGCAAGACCAGGTAAAGGGGACCCAGGCTGGCAGAATAGGCCGACTCAGTGGCATCCAAGTACATCTGGTGGCATTCAGAGGGGGGAAAATGGTCACACTCTTTAAAGAGGTTAGCCATTATCCTCATTTTATGCATGGAGAAGCACATAGAAATGTTACATGACTTGCCCAAGGCTAGGCAGCAAG